AATCGGGATGGGTGTGTCAGAGGCAGTGCGATTGGCACAGGACAGAGCAGCGTTTAGGGCTGTTGTACATAGGGTCGCTATGAGTCGCAAACGACTTGACGGCACATAACAACAACAACTGCAGTCCACACAGATTTCATGAAAAGACAAAGTCTCTGTCAAAACATCTAGAAGTAAAATATATAGGACAGTATTTCTCCTCCAAAATATTGTCTGGGGAAAAAAGTTCCAAGCAGACATAAAAAAATAAAAATAAAACTCAGTAAACAAACATTATGTGATGCTCTGAGCTGCAATCATCAAACTATGCTCCTAAAGACCCTACACACAACACACCAAGATCCCACTAGATCCTGGGCCCTCCTGACATTCTCTGCTGTGCCTGTCCCCACTTTTACAGTCACTGTGTCAGTCCAGCTCATTGAGGGTCTTCATCTTCTTCAGAGACCCCCTACCCTTCCATACATGATGTCCCTTGACTCCTCCTGACGTGTCCAAAATACCAAAACCACTGCCATCTGTGGAGTCAGAGTCACAGCTCCCAGGCTCTCGTGGCCTCATTGAGAAAGTTGAGGAGTCTTCCCAGTTTGCTTCCAAAAATAAATAGCTGGTGGATTGGAACCTCTGACTTTATGGTTCAACTCAAAACTCATTTTATTGCTGTTCAGTCGAAACTGACTCATAGCTGAAGGAGACTGTCCAATTATCTTTTTCAGAGAAGCTGGTGGATACAAACCACTGCCTTCGGGTTGGCAGCACTGTTCCTTACTCACCAGCCCACCAGAGCTCTTATGGTTAGCAGCACATTAAGTAACCCAGCCATGTCACCGGAATTATAAGTATTAGATGCTGTTGAGTTTGACTCAGAGAACCTGTAAACAGTAGCTCTGAAGCCTGTCCTATGCTGTGCCAACCACACAATCTCTGACACACTTGAGCCCATTGCTGCAGTCACTGTGTCAGTCCACTTGGCTGAGGGTCTTCCTCTCCTTCGCTGTCCCTCTACCTTTCTGAGCATGCTCTTCCTCTCCAAAGAATAGTCTCTCCTCGCAACATGCCCAAAGTATGTGAGATGAAGCTTCATCTTTGCTTCCAACGAGCAATCTGGCTTCATCCTTTCCAAGACATACCTGTTTTTTTCTTTAAACAGTCATGGGATAGTCAGTACTATTCTCCAACACCACAGCTCAAAGGCATTAGTTTTTCTTCTGTTATCATTATTTATTGTCTAGCTCTCAGATTTATAGCAAATGAATGAAAAGACCATGGTCTGAGTCAGGTGCACCTTAGTCCCCAAACTAACATCATTGCTTTTCAATAATTTGGAGAGATCCCTGACTGCAGGCTTTCCCAGGGCAATACATCTCTTGATCTCCTGACTGCTGGTGCCAAGTGTATTTATTGTGGACCCAAGTAAGATGAAGTCATTAACAGTTACAATATTTTCACCATTTATCATTTGTCATCAGAAAGGAATGATTAATTCTGCATGGAGTTAGGGTAAGGTAAATGGAAAGGGTTTCAGGGCTTTGAAGGGTACGGAGTACAGCCAGAAGTAACTTTAGACATTAGGGAGCCAGATTGCTTTGCACCAAACTGGATTCTGGTGCAAATCTGACAATTATTTAAAATATGAAATAAGAATAGTGTTAAGGCTAGTAATCTACCTTCATCGTAAACACAATCAAAATCTTTTTTTTTTTTTTTTTTTTTTAAAAAAAAGGCCTACAGCATCCATTTTGGCTGCAGATTTCAAAGTCATCCTCTGAAGAGGAAGGAGAAACGAATTCTCTCCCCCTTGGCTTGGCAACACTGGGTTATTCTGTAGTGGTCAGAACAACAACAAAACGGTCCAAACTTTGGGGTCTGGAACTGCTAGGGGAAACTATGTGTAGAGGCCGGTAATTGTGAAATCTGATCATGCAGCCTTCAGAGATGAGGGTCCTACTTGATCAAGTAAAAGCCAGAGCCCAGCATTTTTAAGAAAGAGCATCATTTGTTGAATACATTTTCATCATCTGTCTTTTTGCCCATTAGAGGGCAATGGACCCTCTGCGTTTTCTGCCAGTTTAATTCATTTGCATCGCAGTAGTTGGTTTAAAAAAAAAAATCAAGGCTGGCGATCAGGGCCACAGTAGGCTGCAAGTGAGCTGTGCAAGGGGGTGTGAGGAATGCAGGTGAGGACAGCGAGGGGCTAAAGCTCTGCCCAGCGCATCCCCAGCGCCCGCTCCATTCCGGACCCCCCACCCTGGAGGCTGAGGACAGCGCGGCAAGGCGGTGGCCGAGCGCGCACGGTCACGTTCATTCTCTGCTGCTTTCCTGTCCCCAGTCGCCTCCTCCCTCAGCCAGCCTTGCTTGGAGAGGGTTCACCTCCGGTGCCTGAGCCTCTCCTGCCGATTTCCCCCGGCTCGCGCCTTTGTGTCCGGAGCTGAGCCCGGGGAATCTGCAGGGTCTGCAGCGGCTGCCGCAGCAGGAAACCGGCTGCGCCCCGCACCGCCCGCCGGCCGCGCCCTCTCGGTGGAGGCGCGCGGGGACGCCACGCACCGCCGCGTCCCGCGCTCCAGCGAGCCCGCCCTCCTGGCCGGGCTTTGGGGTGGGCGGCCCCGCTGGCTGCCGGCGGTGGTAGCTGCTGCTGCAGCGCTAGCCGCGCGCACACCCTGGGTCAGACGCACCCAGCGCCTCCTCCCTGCACCACCAGGATGGAGCAGCCGCCTCGGCCTGGCACTGGCGCAAGGTAAGGTGCGGCCGCCTGTTGCTTTTCTCTGAGCGCGGGACCGTGCCCCAGTCCGGGTGCCTAGGCCGCCCTATGGTCCACAGACAGACGGGAGCCGTCACCCCAGTTTTTGGCCATTATCTGTCCACATCTCTTGGGCGCCTTGGCGCAGACTGGTGGAGAGCCGCCGCCTGGTGTAGCGGTGTAGACCCTTTGCTCGTCATGCAGCGGATTGCCCCGCAATAGTCTGCAAACTTTTGTGCTCGGGGTATCTGAGCTGTGCTCACCCGAGCTTTGCAAGTTGCGTGCCTGGTTGTTCTGTGCTGGCTTTTCGGGGTGGGTGGGGGGAGGCTGTTTCTATGTATCTGCTCCTTTCTGTGTGTTCTTGCCAGTCGACTTGAGGCTCCCCGCACGCACCTCCTGCTCCAGAGGCGAGGGCTTGGGACCCAGCAGTGTTCATCCTGCCTGTAGGGGGTGGTTAGGAGTCGAGGCCGCAGAATGGGAGAGGTGGGACGTAGGGTAAGGCTGCAGACACTCCCGGAGCTCCGTCCAGCACAGCGCTGGGTTGGCCCAGCCTTGCACACGCCACCCCCCAACTATGGTAATGAAACCCTTGGAACGACTTGCAGCTGTGCGCCCTGGGATCTGCTAGTGCAGAGCCGGGTGGGCGACTTAAGTGCTTTGCGAAGGGAAAGGTTGCCGGTGAGGATGGAAGGAGAGGTTGGGTCTTGGGGGTAGGTCTGCCCCACCTAAAAGAGGGGTGAACGATTCTGTTAGCACAGGTGAGGAACAGAGCCCTGAGCTGTGAGCTAGAGGGGAGGTAAATAGGTTTGAGTGTGGAGGGCGCTAAGGTGTGTAAATAAAGATGGGGGAGGGGCTGGACACCTGGGGAGACACGGAAGGGAGCCCTGGATTGTGAGAGCCCAAAGAGATTTGGGGAGGCAGCTCGCTCGCTGGCTGCCTGGAATGAGGCGAGCTCTGGAGAACGATAGCAAACGAGAGAATCTCTATGCATTGGTGACCTGGGCGGCGACTGAGTAGCCAGATCAGAGTTGCTTTTCTTTGGCGCTGGGAGAGGACCACCATCCACTGCCTCCTCCAGCGCCAAGTGCCTCGCCTTGTCGCTTTTACACCGATGCCACCTCCGCAGCCACGCTCACCATCCCTGCCCGGTGCTCACCAGTCCCGGCTGCCTTCCATCTGCAGGGTGGGAAGGGGACTCCTGCAGCCAGGGAGGAGAAAGTCTGCATTCCGGAAAGGGGGAGTCCCCAGCACCCGGCCAGTGGACAGGTCAGAAAGGGCTGGAGGAGCGCAAAGGGGCGTTGGTTGCAGTGGGAGCCTCCTGATTTCCCACCCACTGTACCTCCTTAAACTGCACCTGGGTGGCGTGTGAGAGTGGGGGAGCCCCACACTGCCAGGGAGACGCTCCAAGCCCAGAACTGGGGGAAGTGAGGAGGGGGAGGAATGCAGAATTAGGAATTACTGGCACCATGAAGGGAGCCTGGAGCCCAAGCAGAGGGGGGCGCCCACCTTACAGCACCCAGGTAGATTTTTCTGGTTGTTCAGATGCTTCACAGGGCTTCCTCCTTTGCACCCCAGAAGTCTGGCATGAAAGACTATCTGGGGAGGCAGCTTAGGCTGCTTTTGCAAAGAAAGCCCACCCCCACTGCCTTTTAGTTCACCCTTGGGTCGCCTCTTTCTGTGGGGGGAAGCCCCTGGGCTTTCCAAGCAAGAGAAGCAGCGCTCGATGCTTCTTTTCCCAGAGGAGGTGCACGCCCCTCTGCTTCTGGCTTCTGTCTCCTGCTCCCTCAGGGAAAGAATCTGAAGGTTTCCTGAATCTGGATTTTGTGCCATTGGAGGTCCTCACTGGTGAGAGCTCTCACGTGCAGGCTTCCAGGGAAGAGCCCTTCTCTGCGGGTGCCCTGTAGAAGCCACTTGCGCTCCTGCACCAGCTTGGAGAAAGCAGAGCTCAGCGCATCCCCTTTCCTGGGCCTCGCGCCTTGGTCGGCCCACCTGGGCTCCCGGGAAGAATTTCCAGGTCTCTCACACACCCAGCTCTGAGCACTGGAGCTCTTGGATTCCCTCCTAGCAAGCTGCAGATCCTCAAGGGGCCAACAGGAAAGGGGATTCCCTGTGCGCGGCTCCTGGTGCAGCTTCTGAGCATAAAGGCCACACCCTCACAGTCAGGCCTCTGTCCCAGAGCGCTGGCTGCTTGGAATTACCTGGATACCTGAGGTAGGCTGAGACTTTACCTTCCACACTCCGGGAGATTTACCTTTAGGGGCTCTGGAGAGCCTTTCCTTCTGATGCGCATCACCTGGGGTCGCACCTCTCTTTGCATGTGAAACAGGTTAGAACAAATCTTCTGGGAACTTTTGAAGGAGGAGTGCAGATCCTCACCTGGGCCTCCATCTCCTTAGGTAGGCCGAGCCATTCTGAGGAGACACATGGCAATAATGTTAACTACAGGGAGTATTTGGTGAATTTTTCTGTGTGTTGATGCCATCCTAAAAATATCACAGGGTTGTTGGGTTTTGGTGTGTGGCTTTTTTGTTTGTTTGCTTGAATTTTCTGAGAGATAGGCTATTCTTCCCATTTTATAGATTGGTAAACCAAGTCACAGAAATTCAGTTAGTTACTACCATCTGGTAAATGGTGAGCTGATGGGCAGAGAACCCTGGGGATGTCCCATGCTCTGTGACATTTTTGACATTAAAGAACTTTGCCCCGATGGAAGCAGGGAGGAAACCTTTCTCTTTGCTCAGGTGCCAGGAGTACATCTAAGTGTCAATTCACACCTGTGCTGTAGCGGTGGGAAGACTGACCACCTTAGAGTCAATGAGGGTATCTCCTGGTCAAAGGGCAGCTGGTGCTGGCAACACCCTTAGAAGCAGGCTACTGGTATTGAACTTTCTGCATCTTTTGGTCGATATTTCAGTTTTTAAATGTACAGGGGAATGGAAGAAAAGATCCATATGTGAGCCGAGGTGGGCTCTATGGTGAAAAGTCAGAGGCTGTTTGAGGTAGGAGCTGTATCCTGGTACTGGAAGGAATCACCACAGGTTCATGAGAAGGGATCTGGGACATCATTCAGAAAGGCCCTAAGCCACTCAGTGTATTATAGACCACAAAATTAACGAGGGTTAATTTTGAGATCCTTTGCTCACAAATATACTATGTCTGATGCTGTTGCTTTTAAGCATCCAAAAAATAATTGTTGTTGTTGTTGTGCACTGCCGGGTTGGAACTGACTCATAAGTGACCCTCTAGTGGGTTTTCGGAGGCTCCAAAGCTCACAGAGGGAGATGACTCATTTTACTCCTATGAAGCAGTTGGTGGATTTGAACCGTGTGCCTTGTGGGTTGCCAGTGATACTCCTTACCGCTAGGCCACTAGCAATGCGGGAGGTGAAATATAATCATTTGATTATTTTTAAAATTTAGATTTCCAACGTAATGGTGATGAATCAGTCCTTCACTCAAGATAATCAAAATTGTGTAGTGGGACTTAGCTAAACCCACCAGCAATGAGTCCATCCCTGTGCACAGCCATGCAGGAGGGCAGACGGGGCTGCACTGTGAACAAAGAAGTGTGTGGTTCACATTATTGCAAAATATAGAAGGATAACTAATAAGATGTGGATAAAAGTCCAAAGTGGGAAGGGGAGGGTAGCAGGGAGCCAGAGGGTGGGGAGGAGAGAAATTACTAAGATTCCAGAGTTTGGTGACGGGTCAGGGGTGAGGGAATTAGAAGGACCCAATGGGGACCTGAAGAAACGAGGTAGTAGTAAGCAAAGATCAATGGTGATTAATTTTATACAACATACTGTACATGAGTCATCTTTTGAAACACAGTGTGAGTATAGGAATGTGCTGAAGTGCAGTGCACATGAATGATACACAATGTGTCTGAATTTTATATGCAAAGTGATATAAAAGTAGGGGGACAGTATATGGTTCAAATCCACCAACTGTTTCATAAGGGAAATATATGCAGTCTCCTCCTGTGTGATTTACTGCCTCTGAAAACCCACTGGAGGGTCAGTTCATTATGAGTCTGTTCCGATTCAATGGTACGTAACAACAAGAGTGGGATTCTCAATGCCGGACTCCTAACCAAGCAGCCTGCAAAATGGGCAAGCTACCACTAACGTGCTCCTTTTGCTAAAAATTACAGTAGACTATTTACAAACCTTCAAATTAACAGAAATTGCAACCTGTGATCTGTATGATGGTAAATAATCCGCTTCTGTCAGATTAATTTTGTCCTGGCAGATTCCCCAGTATTTATGAAAATGCAGCATTGAGGAAATACTTCTGAAGAGGATGAGCTGAGTTGCTATGAATCCTCATGGATGTCTGTGCTTTAGGCTGAACTGTGTGGTTGTTGGTGGTTGTTAGGGCTGCCTAGTGGTTGTTATTGGTTGTTAGGGCTGCCTAGTGGTTGTTATTGGTTGTTAGGGCTGCCTAGTGGTTGTTATTGGTTGTTAGGGCTGCCTAGTGATTTTTTTTATTTATAGCAGCCCCATGTGGCAGCGTGGAACTGCCCCCACAGAGTTTTCTTGGCTGTGGTCTTTCTGCAAAGCCACCCTTTGAACAGAACCCTGCCGTATCCTCACCGTCTCTGACTTACTTGAGTCCCTTGCTGTTGTCACTGTGTCAGTCCATCTCACTGAGGGTCTTCCTTTCCTTCCCTGATCTTCCCTCTTTCCAAGCTTGATGTCCCTTTCCAAGGACTGGCCACAGCTAACACATTGCTCGAAGTATCTGAGACCAAGATTCACTATCCGTGCCTCCTCGGAGCATCCGGCTGCATCTTTTCCCAGATAGATTTGTTTGTCTTTTTGACAGTCCATGGAATATTCAGCGCCTTTCTTCAGTTCCACAACTCAAAGGCTTTGACTGACTCCTTAGGTTTCTATAAATCGGAGGGGAAGCAGTATTTGCCCTCGTGTTTATATTTGGGAATCTGAAGGGATAAGTTGTTCCTTGCCTCTAACTTCTCAGAGCTCCTTCAAGGAG